ACACACAGATATGATCATAAATTGCACTTAGTAGGGAAAAGGGTGAGTTGATTAATAGATTTCAAAGGGAAACTTTGGCTTTCAAATCACTTTCCCTTGAAATGTTGTTAGTGCTCTTAAATATATTGAGAAGTTAAAAAAAAAAGACACAAAGTCTGTTCATCCAGGATAGTTATTACAGACAAAAGGAATGAAGAGACAGCATGTCAAAAAACACAATTAAGCTGAGAGTATTATCTACTGATATAGTATCAAGTTTTACTAAAAAAGTTAAGAATAAATTTTTTAAAATCATCAGAATTTCTGCTCACCCTGATTTTCCACGGTCCAAGAAAATTTTGACTAGAACTAGGGTAACAATTACTGTACCAGCAACAATTCCTTGAGGAGGGAAAAAATTTGGTAAGACAGTTAATAGAAACATGAACAATCATACATATGGCAGTTTCACAATGACAAGCATACTGGCTACAAGGCAAGTTAAAGAAAAAATAGGAGACATGAATTATATTTTGTATATGGCTTCTTTTTTTAATTCTTTTTATTTTTTTATTTTTTTGAGGAAGATTAGCTCTGAGCTAACTGCTGCCAATCCTCCTCTTTTTGCTGAGTAAGACAGGCGCTGAGCTAACATCCGTGCCCATCTTCCTCTATTTTATATGTGGGACGCCTACCACAGCATGGCTTGCCAAGCAGTGCCATGTCCACACTCGGGATCCGAACCGGTGAACCCCGGGCCGCTGAAGCAGAACGTGTGCACTTAACCACTGCGCCACCGGGCCAGCCCCTGGATATGGCTACTTTATGTCACAAGTTTGACAATAAGCATTGCATGCTATTTGTCTTGTTTTCTTTCAAAGAAAAATGAGAGAAAATAATTAAAGTATCACAATGCTCAAATAAAATGACAGGTTTGAGAGGATTCTAAATTGTTTCAACCCCATCATGTTCAATTTTAAATGTTTTGATCATTGATCATGCAAATATGACGACTGAATTATGTAATTTTAGCACTAGAAGGTATCCTGGCATTCACTGTCATTTATAGATGAGTAAATTGAGTCTGAGAAGGGTGAAGGTTACCTATGTGGTTAACGGAAAGGTAATTTACTTAGTTCATAGTAAAGATAATAGAGATGTAGGCATTTCTCCATCATAGGAAAGGTATCGTCATCTGAGCACAGAGGGTAAAATATATTTAGTTTGCCTACAGAATATGTTTTTCAGCATTCAGCCTATTGCAGATAAAATTTCACTTCGGAAAGCTAATATTTACTTTTAAAATTAAATGCACTATTTTGACTTGAACGACAGCAAACAATTGTTCAAATAAGTTGGTCAACAGCAAATAATTTTTATAGCTTGCTTCTTACACACAATCTGTTTTCTTAAAATCACCCATTTGCCCTTTCCACCCACCACCCTGGGCCTCCCTTTTCCTCCCCACTCCACCCTCCAATGCCCTTGAACTCTACTCTTTTGATCTGTACTACAAAAGAAATTAGAGGTGACACTAGAAAAGCAACTGAAGGTAATGTGACTAATAAGTATATCTGGTTCCAAATCAGCAAAATATAGATGTCATGCAATTGCACTACCAAATGGATATATGACGTAGAAAGCAGCTATTTCCACCATGGGTAAGTTTTCACAGTATTTTACCCAATTTCTTTAACTGATTTCCTCCTACAGTATCATTAGCTTAGAAAGACTGTATTCATAAAATAAATCATGGCTTCTCAAAAATTTGGGGTTTCTTTTCCCTTCACCATTCCCTCTAATCCCATTTTCAAATGTTGCAAAAACATCCCATTTTCAATCTGAATGATAAATGAAGAGAGAAATTTAAAAATGATCCAAAATATCTGGATGTCAGAAGTAAGAGCTTATTCCTAGAATACTGATCAGAACATATATATAATTTTAGAAGAAAGTGTGTGGAGGTTGACTGTTTGACAGAAAACCAAATCAAGATACAGAAATATGAGAAACATAATTCTAGATAAATGATTCCTTATAAATTAACGAGAGTATTATCTCCCAAATTAGAAACATAGAAAACTTTAAGGTACAAAGGCAATTGTTTTTGATCTCAAAATTAATTTGGTGTCTACAGAAAACCATCCCAAAGGTGAAACAGTGTCGATTTAATATTTATGCACTTTGGGATAAATAAAACTATGAAATTATGAATAAAATTATGATTATGCTTCCAATGTTCCTTATCATTAATTGAAGAGCTCTTAGGCAGGAAAATTACATAATTTTAGAAAATGGTTTTCTCCAAGTTAAAGGAGTATTTTAGTAACATTCCTCATTATGTGGAACTATATTTACATAGTGTTTAAAACGCTGTAAAGCAGTTTGACACCTATTGTCTCATTTGATCACCTCCAATAACTAGCACAGTGCTTATAAAATAGTAAAAAGTACTTAGTAAATATTTATTAAATTGCATCAAATGATATTCTTTTTGCAGATGAGAAAACTGAGACCATTAATGTACAGAGGATCATCTCTATTTCCAAAGAACCCAAGTCAGAATTCTACTGTAAGATCTGGTGTTAAATGATGCTTCTGAAGAAATGTGGGTGCACCCAGCCACTTCAAAAGGCCTCACTTGTATACCTAATAAAGTAGAAATGCAGCCCAGATGCCACGAAAAACTGAGAAAGTTATGGATAGGTTTTGTTCTTCCTTATAATCCTGTAAGAAAATAAAGGTATTGAGGTCTGGGGACAAGTGAAGTCACACTAGAAAAAGACTTTTGTAGAAGGAAAGAGAATGTGCTTGAGTAAACCTTAAAGTTTCAGATTTATAAATCAGGATTCACCATGCTTCCTCAGCAACATCCACAGGACCCTCTAAGTGCCTTGCTAGTATCATTGGACTTTCTGTGTCTCTGTATTTCTTCAAAGTTTTTAAATAAAGAAGAGAATCACACTTTCCTTTCCAGATTAAGCAGATCACTGAAAAATTACATGATTATATTATCTGACTTACCTGTAGATAATTGAAGTCACTTTATAATGGGATACAAGTTTGCCATGAATAGGGCCAGTTAATAAGATACAGTAAAGACCTTTATATCAGCATCTTATGCATTTCAAATAGCCACCAATGAGTCAAGGCTCTTAAAAGCACACTTCAATTTGGGCTAGTCTATAATATATGCCATTTTCAGGTATAGACATAAAACAAATAGATAAGCACATGATATTTAAAGGATACAAAAGAAGTATTTTAGATATTTCACTGAGTATTCTTTGATTTTTTTCCTTAATAATCCCTTCAATTGATCCCATATGGGATTATTATTAATCCCCATAAGCAATTTATGAATGTCCCAATATAGGATTTCACCAATGGAGAGAAAAAAAGCAATTGTAAAGAATCAGGACTATCTTAATTGTCAAATGGGTTCCACAGTTTCCTGTCCTGATACTAGGACAAGAATCTTTCTATCCTTTCAAGTACCTCGTGCTGGAGAAACTAGTCATCTGCCTTTATTTAAGTGCCTAATAGCTATGTGACCTTGCACAAATTACGAATCTTGCACAACCACAGTTTTCTCAGCTAAAAAATGAGACACAGCTACCTTTATAGGATTGTTGTGAGGAGTAAATGAAATAATATATATAAAAATCTCAGCACAGTACTTGCCACTCAGCAAAAGCACAAATATGACCTCAACAAAGGACTACCCTTATTCTTTGGGGTGGCCAGAGGGAATGACAAATTGTCCGAAATCCATCTTAGAAAAATAATTGTGACTGCATTCTATGACTTCTTTAAGCTAATATTTATTCAATTTCTAGCACTGTGCTGGGAGTTTTCATATCTATTATCTCATTAAGCTTCAAAGACTTTAAATAGGAATCACAATCTTCATCTCATAAATGAGAAAATCGGAACTCAGATTAAGTTAATCACTTGGGTTGAAATAATTACTAAATGAAAAAAACAAAACAAAACCAGGATTCAATCAAGGTCTGGCTGACTCCAAAGCACAAGCCTTTCTGCTATACAATATTGTCATAAAAAGCAAGAACAAAAACACAACTATATAGAGCATGTTCTTCAATGTGGATAGTACCAAAAGGGTAAAAAAACACTTCCCTTTTTACGTAGAAAGTATGGACATACACACAGCACATAAATAGATTTACAATATATCTGTAATATTAAAATTTCATGGGAGATGATTAGGAAAAGGATGTCTAACAAGCTCCTTGAGGGGCCAGGCTGGTGGTGTAGTGGTTAATCTCATGGTGGCCTTTGGTGGCCTGGGATTCACGGGTTCGGATCCCAGGTGCAGACCTACATACCATTCATCAAGCCATGCTGTGGCAGCATCCCACATATAAAATAGAGGGAGATGGGCACAGACGTTCGCTCAGGGACAGTCTTTCTCAAGCAAAAATGAGGAAGATTGGCAACAGAAGTTAGCTCCGGGCCAATCTTCCTCACCAAAAAAAAAAAAAAAAAAAAAAGAGGGCAATAACAACAAAAAAATTGCAGCAAATAAGGAAGTTTTGAGATTAGTCAGACTCTCTTTCTTAGCAGAATTACATAGGAAAAAATTCAAATACTTCTGAAGTTCTAATATCATCTGTATCATTCTCTTACACTGCAGCACAATCAATAAAAGCAATTTCCTTGCAAGTAGAGTTTGGTATCTTTAAAATGAAAAAAGTGACCTGATTCACAGACTAAATGTAAGAGATAAAGATAATTTTCAGAATTATATTTTACAAGTATAGGATCCCAAAGAAAATTATTGCCATATGTCTGATTTAAGAGCGAAAGAGCTCCTCTTTATTTCTGAGTACAAGTTGCAATTAGAACTAACTCTAAGAAAAGGTTTCTGAGAGATCACATAGGACAGACTTCAAGAATTTCAGAGAAAATCATATGCACTTCAAACCTTCATTGACGCCACTGAGCCAGTGAGAAAAAACTCATCACTGTTGTCCACATTAAATCACTGAATCATGAGATTTTCATTTGGAATACATTTATTTCTATTTACAATATAGAATGAACAAAGTGAATTCCAACTCTTGGAATCTTTAAAGATAAATCTTCTTGCTTAGGAGAGGTTCATTCACAATATAAAAGAACTACAATAAATAATGATAATAATAAAAATACCTGCTTTCTGCGTTATTGTCCCTTGGCTAATTTATGCATACATAAAATAGGAGACTTCAGCTTATAAAGATATAATTTTAACATATGCACTCTTATAATGAGTGTATTTTCTATTGGACATTACTTATCAAATGCCAATTTAGTTGTATTGCTTCTTAGCAAATATTTCTCTCACCATCTTTAGTTTATTAATCTTCTTGCTAATGCATAACATCAAATAACATATTTATGGACAAAAAAAGGACCAGACCAAACGCTAGAAGAAATTTCAACACAGATATATGTTTTTGGCCTCATATTTATAGCAACAGAATACTTTCTGAAGATAACTTTGCTTTAAATCACTGAATGAGAAGGGAGAAGGAAGAGGATTTAATCAAAAGTAGCACTCTTCATTTGGGATAGGACAAATCTAGAAACAGCCAAGGAGAAGTTTATGATTAATCACAAAATACTTGAGGATAGAAACTGTATTGATAACTGCCTCTGTGTGTTCTTCAGCTCCTAGAAAGATGCATTGAGACAATAGGCACTCAATAATACTTGATTGATTGGCCTAATGATTCGAAGTTGTCCTGAAACTACCTTGGAACAAGAACATGGTTGAGAATACTTAGGAACATACCGGGTACCCAGTGGTGTCCACAAAACATGCCGATAAAATGCATTTACCTGTTTTCTTTTGGGCACCCGTAAACAACGCATTTTAATAGTATTTCTAAGACAGTTAAACGACAATATTCTCTTCCACGAATCTGGATTGTACATCCCACAGGGATGACAATTTCTTTTAACTGCTGGAGAGCCAAACTTACCAGATGCAATGATGACAGCACCTAAAGAAGAAAAAGAAAGAATTACAAAAATAAGAATTTTAAAAAGTCATTGATTTGCTAGCAATTTTATATATGTATCGATAAACTGTACTTGAAAGGTCAAAAATAACTCATATTTCCATAACTGAAAGAAATAATTATGAATAAATTTATGAAAATAATTATACATTAACTTAATCAAGTAACACACCTCAGTGCCTAGAAATATCCAACAGAGTTAACACTATAGACATAAACCATGAAGAAAGTTATCGAACACTGAAACAAACACCGCCTAAATCTGGTATAGACTTGATGGGAAGAAACAAGTTTGAAAGCTTAAACAGTAAACAACTGCCGATCCCATCCTATCGTCAAGAAACAATCAGAAGCTAAAGTCTCTTTCAGCAGGCTCTGTCAAAATCTAAATGACCATATCGCATTATTATTTATACCTTTCAGTGACTAGGAATGAGGCATTGAAAAAATTACTTTCACATAAGTATATTTATAATAATAAATATGCTGCTCTCTTAAGTAGTGAGTAAATTTACTCAAAGTACCATTGAGAACAGACAATATTGCACAGAAGAAAAAGCACAGGATTTGGACCCAGAACATATGTTTAAACCTCACTTTTCTCCTCATTAACTATGCACTGTATATGTATCCTATAAGTTAACCTCTAAGCGTCGAATTCATCACCTACAAGATGAAGCTAAAAAATACTTATTTTGCAAGGTTGTTGTAAGGACTAGTGTTGACAAATGAAAGTTGCATGGCATATGTTACCATAATACATACTCAGTAAGTGGTAGCTACTTTTTTTTTTCCAGGAAGAGCAAATATGGTATGTGATATTTAAAAATAAATTAATCATACATTAGAGAGAAATTTGATCTCCTATATTGACTGTATCTTTACCATAATAACTGATTCAGGTTTAGTTTAAATTTGTTAAATTATCTTGTATTTTTTGCAGAAAGAGATATTTCAACAAAGTTAGTTCTATAACTAATTTATATAAAGTGAAACATTTCTCTTTTCCTTGCCCTGTTAAACATTGGGTATACGCAATCTAAAAATTTTAGGCCCAGGGATGTCATAAAAATTTAAGAAGTCAGTAACCGCAACAAGTGTTAAAATTAATAAACTAAATCTAAATGTATTAAAACAAACCACAGACCAATGTTGAGTGCAAGAAGTCAAGTTAGATAATGAAATATATGACACACTGTTTATGTAAACTATAAAAACCATACAAAACAATATTATGTACCACTAATGTATACATACAAGTAGCATAACAATAAAAAAAATTAGGAAGATTGGGCACCAACCTCAGGGCAGACATTGCCTTAGAGCAAGAGAAAGAGGAGTGTGGAAAGGTACAAGTGAACCCTAACAATAATATCTGTAATGTTTAAATTCGTAAAATATCCGCGTAATGGCAGAATAGGCTTCAAGATAACAATTATGAAATATATGAAACCATTTTGAAAATATAGTCCAGTTGTGTAAAACTATTTTTAAAAAACATTTATTTGATGCCACTGAAGAGCGACCAAAAGCAGGCAGGAAATGAAGTTCTGCTTTTTAAGAGGGGAAGTAAATTGGGTGAGATTTTATGTATTTATGTATATTTGGCTTTTTACTCGAGGAAATAAAGAAATATGCAAAGGAAATTTCAACAATAATATCTGTAATGTTTTAAGTTCTTTAAAATTATCTGGGTTATGGCAAAATAGACTTTAACATAGGAATTATGAAATCTGGACAAAATATTGAAAAACAACAGTAACAATGATTTGAAGGCACTAGAGAGCAAACCAAGACAGGCAGAAACTGATGAAAACCAAGACAGAACTGCATGGAACGAGATTTGCATACATGCAGCTGAGGGGAATGGCGAGGCCATGTAGGGTAGGGAGCAGAAAGCCACAGTCTTACTGTCTTGAGAAGTCAGAGGATGGAGTTCAAGATCAAGAGAGCACCTGAAAAGCGAGGAGGCAAATTTGAGAGGCTGCTAATGTTCTGTTTCTTGACATTTGTGGTGGTTACATAAATATTTGCTTTAGAAAAGTTATTGAGCGGTGCAGGTATGTTTTATGTGGTTTTCTGTATATGTGTTGACCTCAATGAAAAAGAGAAAAATTTAAAAACAAATCTTTTCTCAGTCCTATTGAGATTTCTCCATGGAACGTAAAAAAAAATAGACCTCTCTATTAGAGAACAAGACTGTCTATAAAATGACTATGCATTAGGCAAGCTGTGAGGCAAGAAGACAACTTGGTGGCCTGAAGTAGCATTAATTACCAGGAGGAGTTTCATTCATTCCCTCAACAGGTATTTTTCTAAAGCCTGTGGCATATATTACTCCACCTTCATAAAAACCATCATTTAAAAAGCCTTGTATTAACATGAACTATTTCAAAGAACTCTGTTTTCAGTTACTTAGAAGACACTGCTGAGATGCTTTACCACATTAGCAACTCTAGCACACCTGGAGAGATCCTTTAGCATGCTGGAGGAATGGGTGTCTGTCAATAACCCAGACCCAGAAATCAACCTTATGGATGGTACATATTAGTGCCTCCCTAAAGCTAACACAGAAAACAGAATTTCTTCACCAATCTTAATTTAGCATTGTTCTTACGGAGCCACAACCTTTTTCTATATTATTGCAAAATATAGATTTGCCCTGAAAAGATTTGCCCTAGCATAATCCCAACCTACCTCTGAAGAAAGTCAAGAACATTAGTATGAAAAAAACTCTGGCTCTAATAAATCATAGGTTATTTAATTTTGCAAATCCAGTCAAGTTGAAATTTCCACCACTGCACATTAGATCCACACTTAGGAAACCTGAACGGTATTTACTGACCTTTTGACGTGCTTGTTGTATGAAAACGCGTGGTTGTACTGGGAACAGCTAGATTCTGTGTCGCTGTAATATGAGCAGCAGAGGTCAATCTTTGTTTTGTATGGACATGCTTAGTCACTGGGGCATGTACAGCAGTGGACTTTCGTGTTCCTGGAAGACTCTGTGTAAAAGAAGCTTTTGCTGTGTTGAGTCTTTGGGTTACTGGGGTGAACTGTGTAGCAGAAGCATTTGCCACGATGGGATTCTGGGCTGCTGGTGGGGTCTCGGCAGATAGAGAGTTTGATATTGGCGATTTTTCGGCTGTTGTGGCTGAAACATTTGCTGCAGTGGGTTTCTGAGGAGTTGATGGGGTTTCTGTAGCTGGGATATTTACATTGGAGGGTTTCTGAGGAATTAGTGGGAACTTTGTAGCTGAAGAATGTATTGTGGTGGGTTTCTGAGGAGTTGATGGGGCTTCTGTAGCTGGAATATCTACAATGGTGGGTCTCTGAGGAATTAGCGGGAACTTTGTAGCTGAAGAATGTATTGTGGTGGGTTTCTGAGGAGTTGATGGGGCTTCTGTAGCTGGAATATCTACAATGGTGGGTCTCTGAGGAATCAGTGGGAACTTCATAGCTGAAGAATGTATTGTGGTGGGTTTCTGAGGAGTTGATGGGGCTTCTGCAGCTGGAATATCTACAATGGTGGGTCTCTGAGGAATTAGCGGGAACTTTGTAGCTGAAGAATGTATTGTGGTGGGTTTCTGAGGAGTTGATGGGGCTTCTGTAGCTGGAATATCTACAATGGTGGGTCTCTGAGGAATCAGTGGGAACTTCATAGCTGAAGAATGTATTGTGGTGGGTTTCTGAGGAGTTGATGGGGCTTCTGCAGCTGGAATATCTACAATGGTGGGTCTCTGAGGAATTAGCGGGAACTTTGTAGCTGAAGAATGTATTGTGGTGGGTTTCTGAGGAGTTGATGGGGCTTCTGTAGCTGGAATATCTACAATGGTGGGTCTCTGAGGAATCAGTGGGAACTTTGTAGCTGAAGAATGTATTGTGGTGGGTTTCTGAGGAGTTGATGGGGCTTCTGCAGCTGGAATATCTACAATGGTGGGTCTCTGAGGAATTAGCGGGAACTTTGTAGCTGAAGAATGTATTGTGGTGGGTTTCTGAGGAGTTGATGGGGCTTCTGTAGCTGGGATATCTACAATGGTGGGTCTCTGAGGAATTAGCGGGAACTTTGTAGCTGAAGAATGTATTGTGGTGGGTTTCTGAGGAGTTGATGGGGCTTCTGTAGCTGGGATATCTACAATGGAGGGTCTCTGAGGAATTAGTGAGGACTTTGTAGCTGAAGAATTTATTGTAGTGGGTTTCTGAGGAGTTGATGGGGCTTCTGTAGCTGGGATATCTACAATGGAGGGTCTCTGAGGAATCAGTGGGAACTTTGTAGCTGAAGAATTTACTATGGTGGGTTTCTGAGGAGTTGATGGGGCTTCTGTAGTTGGAACATTTACAGCACTGGTTTTCTGAGGAGTTGATGGGGCTTCAGTACCTGTAACATTTACAGCACTGGTTTTCTGAGGAGGAGATGGGGCTTCAGTACCTGTAACATTTACAGCACTGGTTTTCTGAGGAGTTGATGGGGCTTCAGTAGCTGTAACATCTACAGTGGTGGGTTTCTGAACCGCTGGTGTGACCTTGGAAATCTGAGAACTATCTGTAGAAGAAAAATATTTTTAAAAAGTTAGCTAAATAATGATGTCCAAGTTAAGATTTAGAAACCAATTGCTTGCTCTATGACTCTTCCCTTAATTCCCCACAAATACCTAGATATGACTTTTAGGAGGCCAAGTCTTACTGTGTATTTTCGAAGGAACTAAAATGCTCCTTTGTTTTTTCTTTGATATAGATTACCTACAGGCAACTAAAGTGGATTTACACCACAGTAGTATTGAGGTTCTTAAACTGTTTTCTGTCTGAAGAAGGGAAACCAAAGTTAGAGTCAACAGTGATCTCATTCTGTGACACACCTCAAATAAAGCTATTTTCTCTCATAAATTGTCTTCCTTCACTCATGCGAAGACCAAAGAACAGCTGGACGCAACAACTGGATCAGTGGAGACAATCACAACATAGTTACTTTTTCCAAAGCTTTCAAGGACATGTTAGTGACCTTGGGCACTTGCTCTGTTTCACTTCTTTTTTAAAGTAATAAAGTCAATTGGAATAAAATAATTCCCTTTTTCTCCTCTTGTGCTGGTTACCAACTTTACATACATTAGTTAGTTTCTCTTTGGATTTTAGGTCAGGTTACAAATATCTGAAGTGCACCTTCAGTTAAGATCCTATTCTGAGAATCACAAATCTAACAACACAGTGAAATGTTAGGTGCCTGCTTGACTTTGGGTTGCTTATACAAACTCCCTCTTCAGGAAGTATTGAGTAGAGCTTAAGCCTATTTCACCACACACTAGAGACCATTGACAATTTCTCTAATCTCTCTAAACTTTGGTTTTCCCATCTGTAAAATGAGGATAAAACCAAAGAAGATTGTATAACATTATTGTAAGGAATAGGGGAAATAACTTAGGTACGTTATTGCATACACCATCTATCTGTGAAGCAACATTTTAAATCATCCAACACTATCAGAGCCAGCACCTATCAGTACACATTCTACTTTAGGCGCTCAGATGTCATATGTCACTTATTTCTGCTTCTTTTACCTATCTCACTGGATGCCATAAGGGACAACTCAAGCAAAATACATAGCAAGTAACACAGCACTTAGCAGGCACTCAGAAAATGATAGATATTATTATTAGGATAAATGAAGTTATTATATGGACTTTTCATATAAGGCCATCATGTATAACATTTATTTTTTGTTCTAAGTTCGTTCTCATTTTTGATCCAGAGGACCTATATACTACGATAGCTTGAATTTCCTGGGAACTACTTTTCCAATTATCTTTTCGTCATTTGATGTCTAGTTGAATTCCATTGTGATCAGGAAGCATGTTCTGAATAATTTCAGTCTTCTGAAATGCATTGTGAGTTAAGGCCCAGCATATGGTGACTCTTCCATGTATACTTGAAAAAATTTTAACACCTGTCCTTATAAAGTTCAATGAGCTTGTATGTCAATTTTTCAAAGTTTAATTGTTGCTCAGATCTTCTATTTTCTTACTGATTTTTGTTCCTCTTTCTATTTTTGTTCCTCTTTCTATTAACTATTGAGATGGATATGTGGAATTCTCAAACTATAATCGTAAATTTGTCTATTTTTCTACCCGTCCATTTTTGCTACGCTATGGCTTAAAGCTACTTTTCCAAATGCACATAGATTTCAGATTGTGATATATTTCTGTTGAACCCACCCCTTTATCGTTATGAACTATCTTATCTTAAAGCATACTTTGATATTAATAGAGTTGTACCAGCTTTGGGTTTTTTTGGTAATTGCTTGCATAGTATATTTTTCTATCCTTTACTTTCAACTATTCAGTGTTCTTACTATAAACAGTCTCTTATAAACAGCAAATAAATAGATTTTATTTTTTAATCTAGTCTGACAATCTTAGTCAAATTATATTTAATGTAATTACTGATATTACTGGGTTTATATCAAATACCTTATTATTAGCTTTCTATTCCACCTATCTATTTTATGTCTATTTCTTTTCCTCCCTTATTCTCTTTGGATTAAATATTCATTATCTTTCCTTTATTAGCTTGTGATTTGTACTTTCTTTTACTATTATTTTCATGACAACCCTAGAGATTACAATTTGTATTAGACTATAAGTCAATTATGCAAATTAATACTTTTGTAATTTTTTAGTACTGCTAGAAACCTTGTAACTTTTAAATTTGATTTACCTCTTTCTGCCTTTTGCTTTATTGCTATTGTCCATTTGTATTCTACATACAATTCAAACCCCATCAGACATTGCATTTATTGTTTTGTAAAGTCAGCATTCATTTGCCCTTTGTTCTTCATTTCCTCTTGCATTTTCATGTTTTACTTGGGATTTTTTTTCATTCTACCTGAAGGATTTCCTTTAGTTTTTCATTCTGTGTAGATCTGGTCTGCTGGTAACAACTTCCTTTAGCTTTTGTATGAGACCATCTTTATTCTGCAGTTTTAAAGGATATAGTCATTGGGTATAGAATCCCAGGTGAACAGTAATTTTCTTGCAGTATTTTGAAGATTTCTTCCTATTGTCTTTTTGCTTCCACAATTTTTGTTGAGAAATCAGTGATCGGTTTTATTGTTACTCCTTTGAAGGTACTCTGTCCTTTTGTCTCAGTGCTTCTACCGTTGTTTTGAGTTTCCAGAGTTTTGCTAGGAGGCGCCTGGAAGCGTTTTGTTTTTATTCTGCTCAGAGTCCTGAGAGCTTGTGGAATCTGCTGACCGATGCACTTCTTCAGTTTGGGAAAATTCTCAGTCATTGTCTCTTTGAATGTTTCTTCTGCTCCTATTTATCTTTTTTTCTCTCTCTCCTCTTTTTCTAACATATGTTAGAACAGTTCGACATGTCTCAAAGGTCTCAAACTTCTCTATTTTACATTCTTGGTTCTCTTTTTGCTTCAGTTTGGACATTTTTCATTAACTCTTCTTCCAGTTCCTGATACTGCCTCCTGCTGTGTCCAAATCACTACCTATTGTGTTCTTAATTTCAAATATTATTTTCTCCCATTGTAGAATGTCTGTTTCACTCCATTTTTATAGATTCCGATCCTCTTGAAATTCTGTCTTTTCCTTTGATATCTTAAAGATATTAATCACTCATTTTAAAGTCCCTGTCTGCTAACACAATTATCTGGATCCTCTTTATCTGGTTTTGCTTTCCCCTGATTTGGTTATATTTCTTGCTTCTTACCGTGTCTAATAATTTTTTGTTGTTGTATGCCAGACACTGTATATAAAACGTTCAGATAATATTATCTTCCAAAAAGAGGGTCCCATTTTCTGATGGGTAGATTGGTTTGCGATGATCACACCCTCAGCCTATCAGAGACTGAGTGGGGTTATATTCTTAGCAAGACAGTTTACCTCTGCTCTTGCCTCTGCTCCTTGAGAGGGGCCTTTCTGGGCTTTTGATTGACAGTCTGGTGGATCCTTGTTTCCTCAGCCCTGAGAGATTGCAGGAGATCTAGAAAATCCCCCAGCCCAGCAATCTAACTTCCTTTCTCACAGAGTTTCGAAATGGGCACAAACGTCTTAAGGAGGAGACTGGACATATGCCTGATATGAGCCTGTTCCTCCGATGGGTATTTGTTACCCCAATACCACAAAAGTTCAGACAGATTTCATTTTGTCCTTCCGAAGATTTGGGTCTAACTCCTCAGTCTCACAAGCAGTCCCAGAAATCAGCAAACGGCCCTTGGGAAAAGCTAGGTCTGCACTGGGACCCCGATTTTCACTGTATTATCCTACACAACCATTAAAAGCTTTGCTAGTTTCTCTCTTTGCTGGGAGTGGTCTTTTATCTGGGTCAAGATTGATCCTCAGCCCAGGCGTGCCTCAGAATCATTTCCCTTCACTCCTCACCCCCAGGAATTTTAGTTCATTTTGTCCTAGTCGTTCCTACAGCTGTATCTTATGTTTTTAAAAACATGATTTTTAAAAAAGTCTACCCAGGTTTTGTAGTTATTGTAATAGCAGCATTGGCCTGCCATGAGCTACTTGGGCACTACCACAGAGTTGTAAGTTCTAAATAAGCGATGATTTAATAAAACAGGGGAAAATAAATATGAAGTGGATCAAACGGTCAAATTAAAAAAAATAAACACATAGCAAAGTTCACTCATAATTACATGAATTCAAACAATAAACGCATACACCTTTGATACAGTAATTACACTGCAAGGACTTTATTGTACATAACGTGCTTGCACACATGTGCAACGAACAAACGTATAATAATATTTGTTGTAGCTTCTTTTGTAATAATAATTTAAAAAAGAAAAAAACCTAGAACCAAAATCGAAATTCCCTTCAATAGGAGACTGGTTAAATAAATGATATATCCATACAACTGATATGGTTTAAAAAAGAAATATGTGTGTGCCTGTCTATTTATTTTCTATAATAAAACTCAAAAATTTGTAAACAATGGTTACTTCTGGGAGTAGGAGTAGGGATAGAGAGGAGATTTTTACTCCTAATTTTATACTCACCTGCCTGGTTTTAATATTATCTCACTATGTTTACATATACCACTTATAATAAAAGAACTATTTTTAACAAGCAAGGACACTCAAAAATTCAAGCTAATAGAATTTCAAGTATAATTCTAAAGGTAGCATGTGCTTGAGGTCTATTGGCATTCAAATTAGACACTGCTTACACAAATGCCATCTACTGGTACTGTGCAATGTTATAATCCAGCTTCACTGGTCTTCTATCTCTTCAAAACTATATTTAAAAAGGAGTTCTAAAGATTCTGAGAGTACGGCCTAGGTATGAAAAGGCACTGGGGAAAAAAAGTGTCTAGAAGGATGAAGAGAGAACAGTCAATAAGAGAAATTCTGCAGGTGGGAAATAAATGAAGGTAATTCAATGAAGTCAACAGCTGCAGGCAAGAGTTTCTCTCAGTTGTCACATGTATGATCACTATCTAGACCCCTCAGTTCAACCTAAGATTCCCTCCCAATTGTACAAAATGAACCACTTTGTATACCCTTTGTATAAACAAAGAGATATCTACGGTAACTTATTGAAAGTAACATGGTAAGAAACAACAAAGTTAAGCCAATTCACTAAAATCATGAGACATATGTATGTATATATACGTGCATATGTGTATATATATTCTATGTGTTATGTATGTGTATTTATTTATTTACATATGACCACATGTTCTCACATCAAGGGTTCTTCCCTTTTTTGGAAGTCATAGGCCCCTCTGAGAATTTGATGAAAAATTGTGCCCTCCAGAAAAATGTAAATATGCATATGTACAATATGTTACATTCATTTCTCAGGGAGTTCACAGATTCCCTGAAGCCCATATATAGACCTAAGGATAAGAATACAACAAAAACACAACAATGCAAACTGATTACCTTTGCATTCAGGTGGCGGGCCACTCCATTCCCCTTGGCCATCTTTTACAGTGCAATGAATAGAGTTGCCTCCGACCAGGGTGAATCCTTTCTCACATTTATATGTTATAGACTGTCTATATATGTAAGTGTCATGTTGCTCTAGAATAATTCCATTGGCAATTGCTGGTGGGCTTGGACATGCAATTTCTTGAAAAAAAGAAAAATCCAACATATTTTAAATTAATAAAACTGGCAAGGTATCTTTTGTAAAATATTTAAAGATTTTATTTATAAGAGTCAAAATCAACCATTTTTCTAAATTCAACATTATCAACAAGAGATGCTTATAAATACCTGTTAAGTAATGGGTAGTATATTTGAAGCTTTGGATACAAATGTTCTAAAACATGAATTCCAACTTTGAGACCAATTAATAAAAATAATGAGACGTAGAACATATATGGAAAATAAAAACTACAAGAAAGTTTGCACATGTTACATATCAAACTGCTGCTAGAAAAAGTTAAGCGCTGCAGGAGTTCAGAGGTGAAAGCACAGGTGAGACTTTAGGGAATAAGTGGAACTTGAGTTTAAACCAAAGAGGTACCTTTCTAAGACAAAGCAGAGAAGAAGGCTTTTTTTTTTGAGGAAGATTAGCCCTGAGCTAACTGCTGCCAATCCTCCTCTTTTTGCTGAGGAAGACTGGCCCTGAGCTCACATCCGTGCCCATCTTCCTCTACTTTATATGTGGGACGCCTACCACAGCATGGCTTGCCAAGTGGTGTCATGTCTGCACCCGGGATCCGAACCGGTGAAGCCCGGGCCGCCGTGAAGCTGAACGTGTGAACTTCACTGCTGCACTACCAGGCCGGCCTCAGAGAGGAGGGCTTTGCTCTTCATTCCAGGGGAAATAATGCCAAATGAAAGGAGTTGCGAATTCAAGTGGCATACTTGAGAAATAGGAATGGATCATTTTGGATAAAGCAAAAGATCTTAAATGTTAGGATTCCATTTTGACTTTTAGGACAAAACTTTTTAAGCTTGTATTGACTCACAGCCTTTTATTTAAAGTAAATCTTACTGAGCAGCTGAATTTGTAAAACAAATACAAGCAGAGTTACTCTAGTTATAAATAAAGGCTTCTCCCCGGCAATCTCCTTGAAAAAAAAATGCAATGGTTCCACATTCTCCAGAGCCATGAAGTTGTTTTCTTTTTCTTTAGCAGGAAAGCAATGTGATCACACGTGTACATCAAATTATACTACATCAAATGCCCTTAAGCACCTCGAGAATACTAGCAAATTTATAAATTACTTTTAGGCCATTGATCAAAGCAAGGAGCGAGGACAAGCTAATCTGATTTACAGCGGGCCAGGAGGTGTGATGACTGCACACATCACCATCACTGCAGTTTAAACATTTTCTGGGCACCTAATACATACCTGGCATTGTTCTATGAACGGAAGTGCCAAACCGAATGACATCTAGTCCCTGTATCTTAAAACATAGTGGGCAAAGACATTGAAAGAGATAATTTCAATACAAAATGGTGAGGGTTATCATAGAAGCATGCACAGTAGTGTGGAAAGAGAGAAGAAACACAGTTAACCAGACTGGGAGGTCAAGGAAAGCTTGTAGAAGGACTACCAGAGCAGACCCTTAAAAAAGAAAAAAAAAAAAAAAAACCAAGCAAAGAAGGATCTGAAGAACATTCCAGGCAGAGGTAGTAGCATAAGAAATGATGAGGGGGCATGAAGAAGCATAAGATACATGGAAAACTGCAGTGGTTTGCATGGGTAGAGCACAAAGTATGAAGGCAAGACCCCAGGATGGAGAAGCAGGCAGACCACGGGAAGCCTTGTATGCTATACTAAGGAGTTCGGACTTTGTAAGTGATGAGACACTAACAAGCTTTAAGAAGGAAAGAGACAAGTCACATTCATGTTTCAGATGGATCACACAGGGTAGAGTATGGATGAAACATTAATGAAGTCCAAGAATGGAGGCTGGAGGCCATTGCAATCATTATCATCTTTGAACTCAAGCAAGTGGGACTCCTGCCCTAGCTCTCACACTTTAAATGGTCTGCTCCGGCCCTCCTCTGGCTGTGGGGTCTCTGCAGGGCTCAGGGGATACACTCAATGAGAACTCCTTCCCCATCCCATTCTAAATCATGCTCCAGGAACTGGCACACAGAATTCCTTGTGCCAATACCCCTTTCAGAGCCTCAGAGGGTTCCTTCTCCTGGTCCATATTCTTGAGGAAGGATTATGCTGCTGATGTGCAAACCTCAAGCCCAAAGTTCAGTGGAGTGGGGATAAGGGTCACAGGAGACACAACTTCGGTGTGTAGGCCAAGTTGTCCATTTACATGCATCACAGACCCTTCCCAGTGTAAGAAGGGTGTGTCTATTTGAGAAAGGCTGGGTCTTAGGCGAGGGACCTCCATTTATACTCTTGCCCTGCGCCCTGAAAATGTTATGGATGGCCTTTATTACAAGAGTTCTGAGAAGGGATAATAAACTATATTAGAAGTAATACAGAGATAGAAGGTAAAACACAGCTTTGAGAAATATATTAAGCAGGCAAAGCAAATGAATTAGTGACTAGAAGTGAGAGGTTAAGATAATGAGAGGGGGGCTGGCCCTGTGGCTGGCTGGTCAAGTTCAAGTGTTCCACTTTGGCAGCCCCAGGTTCACCTGTTCGGATCCTGGGCACAGACCCACATATCACTCATCAAGTCATGCTGTGGCGGCGTCCCATATAGAAGAACTAGAATGACCTACAACTAGGATATACAACTATGTACTGAGGCTTTGGGGAGAAAAAAAAAAAAAGGAAGATTGGCAACAGATGTTAGCTCAGGGCCAATCTTCCTCACACAAAAAAAAGAAAAATAAAACACTGTCAGAGAGATGGGGAGACAGATCCTTCTGACATTGAGGCTTCATTCATTCTGCAAACTGTTATCTCTGTATCCACATCCACATGTGGACATCAGTGCAGTCTTGAGTGTCTAGAAGTCAGGGCTGAGTACTTGAGGTGAAACAGCCTCATTGTTTAAGAATTTATACTTTCCACTGGATCTTTTTGGTATTGTCAAAACAGAACAGAAAGTTATGTGGAAAATCAAAGCTAGAGCCTAAAAGAAGGAAGGCTTTGCAGGGAGAGTTGAGGACACTGGGGGTGCTTAGCGAGAAGGGCTCTTCTCTGCAGGCTACAGACGTCAGTGGTTGCTGAATTGGAGAGACGGATGAAACAGTCACAGAGGAAAATACAAACATCAGGATGTTCACCATGGAATTCAAGTCCCCAGACAGGAAGCAGAACTGTGGCCTAGCCATGGGCAAGCTTGAAGAGAAAGTCGGTTTGCAGTGCAAAAGCTCTTCCATGCTGGAATATGTGCTTAGTGTCCACACTGCTGTGGAAATCATAACAGCAGTTGCTTGTGACGTTATTGGCCTCAAACTGGGAGACCGCTTGTCTAGACTTTGTGACGTTACCTGTGTTAGAAAGATATGGTCCACCTCCTCCTTGCTTTCCATATTTACTTTAGCATCATTTACAACATCCCTTACTGTATGGTGGAAATGGGAGAGGTGGTGGTGAGTAGTAATGATGAAAATTTCAAAGTAGCAATAATGAGAAAAAAGGAGAAGTAGTAGATATAGGAGGGTGGGATGCAAGGTGGGTGTAATAGGAGTAAGTAAGTTGGCAAGGCTTCACTTTTTCTGTCTTCATATCAGTTGAGCCCACACATTCCCTCCCACAGGGTATCAATTAATTTGCTGCTATTCATAGCATTTTTAGGGCCAATGTTTTTAGAAGAGGGTGGCCAAGACCTTCTTTCTACCCCATCTTAGTTTGAAAGCTCCACTGAAACCTGTCCATCATGGGTGACCCTGCTGGTTTTTGAAATACCGGCGGCATAGCTTTCAGCCTCACAGCAACACACAGCCACCACAGTATGACAACGAACAGATGGGTGGTGTGGTTCCCTGACTGGGAAACAAACCCAGGCCACGGCAGCGAGGGCACTGAACCTTAACCACTAGATCACCAGGGCTGACTAAATGCTTGATACATTACACTAAATCTACTCTAGTTTCCTGCTCCTATTAACACCAAAAGCTTGAACGTAGCCGTAATTTTAACAAAGATGGGAGAAAAAAAGCTTACATTTAAAAATGTTGCATATATTTTACTCCTCTCAGTTTTCAAGAGACATGTCTCTAACAGACATCAATTTGACTTGATATATCCATTTATGATATTCTTTCTGTGCCCTGTCTCCCCTTGAGAACATAAGACTCTCAAGTGCAGAGACCATGTTTCTTCTTTATTGTATAACCTTATTTCTCTGATAAAAAATAGATCAGACTTTAGAACACGTCTAGATAATTAGCTCAGCTAATAATCCTAAAAGAGGCATGTAGGCAACACCGGGTCTTAGAAAAATGATGGGTCTGAAGTCAAGACATCAGGGTTCAATGCCTTCTCTTGCCACTTATTTTGAGATATAAGGTCAAATAATATAGACTCTCTGATCAATAGTATTTCAATACATAAAATTAAAAATTATGGGGGGAAAGAAATACCATATCTATTTTACTTGACTGTTAGAAAGAATGGTAAGATAATAAATGACCAAGCACAATCTAAACCTTAGTTTGTTTTTAATCCTTTATCTCCACAGCTAATAAATTAAGGAGCGTTACTAGAAAAGGTCTGTAAAGTAGCTAAGACTCTCACACTTTGGAAGGTGAGGGTACTACAAATATACACTGTGGATAACTCTTAATGAGCAGAAAGCAACTAATTGTTGATTGTGAGCCCCACAATCTGAGCGCTTGGATTCTCTTCAAAGTCTTACCTTTGCATTCTGGCAATGGATCAGTCCACTTAACATTCTCACCTTCAAGAGAACAGTAACTAAAAGATGAACCAACTAACGTGTACCTAAAGCAATGAGCGGAGAAAAAGAGGTCTGTTTCATTTACACATATTTGACTTCTCTTAAATTCTCTAGACTATCATCTTAAAATATTTACTACATGGGTTGGCCCCATGGCCGAGTGGTTAAGTGAGCGTGCTCTTGCTTCGGCGGCCCGGGTTCACCAGCTTAGATGCTGGACGTGGACCTACACACTGCTCATCAAGCCATGCTGTGGCTGCACCCCACCTAGAGGAGCTAGGGTGACTTACAACTAGGATATACAACTATGTACTGGGGCTTTGGAGAGAAAAAAAGACAAAAAAAAGTTTACTACACCAGTAGATGCAGACAAAACCATAGTTGATCAAAGTTCATACGGCAGTTGAAAGGAAAAGAAAAAACCCTAAATTTAAAAAGGTGACCTCCAAAGGATAAAAAACGTATAAGACACGCAAAACGTTTTTTTTATTTTAGTGTGGCACCTGTTAGAAAATGTTCAAGCGTTTTAAAACATTTTAAAATGATATAGATGCTTGAATATTTTATATTTCTGAGTTCTAAAAGATCAACACGGGCTTCATAGTATAATAAAATGTACACATATTTAAAGGGTTCAAAGTACTCCCAGATTCAATATTAATGATATTAATGATCCAAACATCTGTATTTAGTACAGGAGATGAGTGAGACTGACATTTTTACTTTCTAAAGAACAGGGACTCACAGAGTAAAATATCATAATTCAATTTGCAGATGTTAAATGAGAAAATGAATATAAAGTTTTCAGCAGTGTCTAAGACACTGATGATACTCAGTGAGTGAGTTCCTTTTCCCTACATAGAGAATTTACAAAAGACCTTATGTCAGAATGATATTTTCACATTAGGAATAAATATTTTTTGTTGTTGGATTGTTTCTTTTTTTGTGTGAGGAAGACTGGTCCTGAGCTAACATTTGTTGCCAATCTTCCTCTTTTTGCTTGAGGAAGACTGTCGCTGAGTTAACATCTGTGCCAATCTTCCTCTATTTTATGTGAGATGCCGCCACAGTGTGGCTTGATTAGTGGTGCTAGGTCCATGCCTGGGATCTGAATCTGCAGACCCTAAGCTGCCAAAGTGGAGCATGCGAACCTAACCACTACACTATTGGGCCAGCCCCTAGGGATAAATGTTTTTAACCCATGATATTTTATAACAGGTTGTTTGCATACAGAAAAAGCCATAGGCAAATTCACTATTGAGGTAAATTGAACATTGGTTTCATATTTAACACTTGAAGAATTTCAGCAAGTTGTCATCAAACTATCACAATTTTTTTCTTTTACTAATCACATTTGTTATAATGAGTCACATATGTACTAAAATCTAACAAATGAGAGCATTTGATGTTATCAGAAATCTTCCTTTCTTGCCCCATTTTACTAAATTTAACTGTGATGAGCTCATGATGAAGAATCTTTGAACAGAGGGGCTGTTTTATTGCTCCTAACTTATAAACACCAGTCACAAATCTAAAAACTTCCATGTTAAATCCTAATTTGTCTTTTCATTTGTTAGTGAGTGTTTAATATGCCAAAACTTACCCTGTGTTACATGAGAAAGAGATAGCTGCACCAAATAATATGTCTGTTTGTATTTTGACATGACCATTTGGTATTTCTCCAGGAGTGGGACATGCTTTTTCTAGAAGAGAATACAAATTGATTTTTTTCATTAAATTATCAGGCACATCTATGCAAATTCATCATCTTAACCACCGATATTTCTTATCCTTAGACTTTTTTTAATCTGGTGTCTTCATTTTATAAGTTTCAAAAAAGCAACATATTTAGAATATATACTATTTCATTCTGGGTAAGCTTAAACTAATTCAATGTGAAATCTGTGAGTAAATGCATATTCCTATCTCATAAACATTTAGTTTGCCTAATTTAAAATAACATGACTCTAATGATTCTTTTAAGAATCATCTTAAATAATAATGTGGACACATAGACTTCCAGCATGAATGAAGAAATACTATTTCCCCAAACACCATATGATTAAGAGTACTCTTTAAAACTATACTCACTTTTGCAAAATTCATCTGGTTTGGACCACGTAAAATTCTGAAGGCAAGTTAGTGTTCCTGATAGAGAACGGTCCCTTCTGTAGCCCATTCGGCACTCATATTCCACAGTGGAACCCGCTGGGAAATAATTCTGGTTGCGATAAGGGTTTTGGAGAGATGCAAAAGGCAGCCTGGGTGGAACATCACAGCTACCTAAAGATGTTAGCAAAAGCAACAACAACAAAAAGCAATATCACTTTATTTTATAATTTCTGTTTAAATATCTGGTTCTTCCATCATCCCTTTTTCTGTACTTCTTTGCACATATTTAGTATTTAACTGTATTAATATCACTCTGGCACTTACACCATAGCAAGCATATTCACATATATACTTTCATTTCCTAACTATCAGAGGCCTGTGAAGCAGATTTGCTACATAGACCTCACTATGCCCACAATTCAGAAAATACAACCCATTTAAGTTGCCTGGCACGATTTTAGCACTGACTCAATAAATTCCAGCTCCCTTACCCCGCCCCATGTAGCACAGGGGTGGATGAGAACTGATATTTCCAGACCCCTGGCTACTGTCCTGGACAACAGTAATAGCTAATATTTTTTGAATGCTTCTAACTGTTCTACATACATACACTCATTTAACCCCCACAACCACCCATGGGGACAACGATCAGATGAGCCACCAGTGTACATAGAAGTATTTACAAATTAAAAAAACATCTGGGCCAATGTGAATTTATAGAGGCATGGTATAGTGGAAGGGGTACTGGACTTCTGGCCAAAAGACTCAGGTTTGAACCCTGGCTCTCCTGAATAAGAGCTGCTGATCTCAAGGAAGTTACTGAACTTCTGGGGGCCTGTTCCCTCAACTGTAAAGTGAGGATAAGAGTCCCTACTCACCTCATGGAGTTGTCTGGAGGATTAGATAAAGTAATACATGCAGAAGAGTTATAAACTCTAAAACATGATACACATGCAAAGGCTTATGTACTTCAACCTACTGCCTTCTATCATGGAGAGATAAAAACAAGTTAAAACCAATTTCCTCCCTGGTTTCAAAAAGTACTTGTGACAGTTTCTATATTTACTGGAGCTTCCATTGCTCCAAGTTGTTCAAAGGCGGGAATCAAGTCTTATCTTTATCTCTACTTGTATATGTGAAAGCTAATAGAGGGCTATGCCTATAAAGATTGATTTTGAGGCAAATATGGAGAACTTCTTAAAATGCCACCACAGAGTTCAATTGGTAAGCCCTACTCTACAAAATGAAATTTAAGAAAACAGAGCACCTGAGTTATGCGTCTCATAAACATATTCATACATAATTTACTCCCTAAGCAGTACCTATTGTTTATTTTCTCTATTAGTTCAGGAGGTACAGTATTAGGGAAGAAAAAAAAACACCTGTTAATGAAGAAGCAGGACCTATTCTTGGAAGTAATGCCGTCAATTAACTGGAGTATGAAGTGCCAACAGGCATACTCTGGGGTTTAATAATGCTAGAAAACTATCAATTACGAGTCACTCCGAAGACGTTTAAAATTAAACGTAACAAGGTACATTCCATTCCCATAACTTTTCTAAAAAGAAACGAAGAACTTACGATTACAAAATTCTGCAACCTCTGACCATTTATCGTTCTCAAGACAGACCACTGAGTCTGGCTTGCCAGGAACTTTTACAAAGCCTTCATCACATTTGTATGTCACTGTGGTTTGTTTAGGAAAACTTGTAAGCTCTCCCAAAGTTGGTTGGGCATTAGGCACATCTGGGGGATGGCTGCAGTCACCTAGGGAGGAAAAAACAGAACTGAAGGAAATACCACTTCGCTATATATAGCAACATTTCTTTCCCAAGAAGAGTGAGGGAAGCAGCAATGGCTTCTGAAGCGCAGGTAACATTTTCCATCCAGTGCCGAACTGACGCACCAAGAACTTGCTAGGCTTCCTGACTTGTCAATTAATTCACGACTAAAATGAGTCGAGAATAAACCCCTCCCCTTCATTATTAAAAGGAAAAAGTGGTTTAGAATTTATCTGCACATAGATACTGTTGCTAGGCACGCACTAAAGACAGACGCCCCTTGTAACGTTACATCTGGAGGAGACAAAGTGCAAATTTGGACCGCCATGCGCTGCACACGACTGGACTTTGTTTAGAGTGGTCAGCTATTTGGCCTCCCATCCTTAAGGAAATTTTGAGAGTTTGAGAATTCACTCTCTTCGAGCCCTGCCTTTCGGCTTGCCGGTGTTTGGCTGCTCCGCAAACTCAGTCTGTGCTTTCTCAACCCTCCACGCCTCACTCCTAAAGCTACGCGAGCTGGGGTCCTGCACATCAAGACCCCTAACTGCAGATTAGGCGCGAAGATGCACTTCCTCTTAAAGACAGAGGATTACGGGAACAATGACCGATGCCCACATTTCTCACCTCCCCGGGTCCCCAGACTTCTCGGTTGTCACGGAGACGGACCCAGCCCCTCCCACACAGCCTAAGGGTTTACCTAGCCGGGCTGGGTCCCTCGACCCCCACTCACCCCGCGCAGCCGGCGGACACAGCAGCAGCAGCACGGGCAGCCAGCCAAGGAGGCGCAGCACTGTGGGGGCGCTCCGCCGCGCGGGACTCATGGCGCGCGGGGAGAGGGACCTGGCGCCGGGACTCCGCGGCCTCCTCCACACTAAGACCTGGCGGGCTCGAGCAAGGAGCTGTAAGTAGAGCAGCGCCTAGCTCACAAGTGAGTTAAATTAGCGCCTTGGGCGGGGCCAGGGCTCTGAATCACCAAAGGGTGCGGCGAAGAGAGGGGTGGAGAAGTTTTTTGCTCGCGCCAGGTGCAGGGCGGGGTAAGGGCGGGGGTTCTAGTGTCACTGGTCTCGGGGGACCCTAAATTAGGAAAGAGGGGTCCTGGGCGGGGAGAGGAATTCTGTGGCTCAGGATGCTGGGACTTCTTCTTTCTGTTTGCTAGGGTGGGTCCTGCGATGAGCAGTCATCTGGAACTGTAAGTGTGTGCTGAGTAAACAAAAAATTGAGGGGAACGGAGGAGAGAGGAGAGGTTCAAGCGGCTTTGCTCCCTGGGAATCTGTATTAGTTTAAGTGGAAATTAAGCGTGCTTGAGTGCTGGAAAGCTGAGCCATAGGGGCAGTGGATTCCCAGATAGCGCTTGGAAGCTGAGAAATAGTGCCCACCCAGGGACCTGGTGCCTTCAACCTGGAGTTACGTCAAATGCCAACAAGAGGATGGGAAAAAAACGACGGAGTGTGTTGTCTCGTAGGACACTCCGTAATCTGACATCAGCAAGTGGGAAATGACCCAGGAAAACAGGTCGAGCAACACAGCAGGCGTGGTCTTTGCTTATACCATGTTTGGGTGGGAGTCACTCTTGTCAGGGTTCCTCCTATTTACCAAAGACACCATGACTTCCACTGTGGGATTATTCTAGTCTGACTGCAGAGAGAAATTCACCACCCACGGACTGTGCGTGTGTGTTGGGCGGGGAGAAAGATGACAAAAGTAACAACCAGATGCTAAATAATAGGGTGGTGGATTTGAAGAGGAAAGTCTGGTAGAAGACCTTCAGTATACGCCGTGGTTTGCGAGGCTGGCTACACGTTAGAATTACATGGGGAGCTTTTTAAAAGTCCAGGTGCTCAAACCACACCTCAGACAAGTTAAATGAAAATCTCTGGGGATGGGACAGGGGCATCAGGATTATTTAAAGTGCAGCCAGGTTGAGAACCACAGATTTATATGGTGCTGGTCAGAGTAAAGATCCACCCAGCCCAGCACTGTCGGTGTCAAAAACACTAAAGGACATTGATGGACAGTCCACTTACTCATCTTCATGGAGACTAACCCCATGTTTCACTTTAGTAATTTACCTGGCTCTGGTTGGCACAGCCCTACTCTAGATTTCCTATCCTCGTCAACACCTTACCTGCTTAAGCAAAATCCCTGACTTGGCCCAGGGATTTCGTTTTTCGTTTTCGATATTTGTTGCATCCTGTCATGATTTTCTTTCCTAAATCCTTTCTGATCACTCTTGATTGGTTAGTGTGAGTTTTATAAGGAGGAAACTAACAGTTTTCAACAGTAGCATTTTCTCTGACTCATGCTTACTGTACTGAACTGAACCCTGTGTCATCCAATGCTGGAAGCAATCCTATAGGGATTCCAGAAAAGGAATGCCTGTGGGCTTTCATTGAAACCTATCAGCATTAAAACATTCTAGGATTAGAAGTCAGGGAGGGGGGCTTTTAAAATCATCTAGTGTGACCCTCATATTTGACATTAAAACACCTTACTTTTACTCCCGTATCTGATAGAAAAACACAAAGTGTATCGGAGCCCAGCAGTGTTTTAGAAGTGATACCAGATCTTCATTCATTCTCCCTCAGAGACTTCCATGACATTAACCACCTCTCCCTTCTGCCACGCTGTTAAAGGCAGGTAGTCTTCATTCCTGCTTGAGCTCGTGTGAAAGGCAAAGTGGCATCGTGAAAAAGAGCTGAGAGTCATGGCCTGTTATGGAGCTGTCAGAAGACTTAACTTTGAGGCCTGTTAGAGCTAAGGATTAAGTGAATGTTATAGCTTTTTATCCAAAGAAAACATTGAGTTCTGCAAAGTGTCAAAAAAAAAAATTATCACCCAGCTTAGTGACACTAATGCTCTAAGCGTTCACTTTCCAAAATACTTAGTTCTTGATGATATCTTTTGTTTTTTAAAAAAGGAACTTTTATGAGAAATAACTGGGTGGATTCTCTAGTAATACTTATGACCACCCCAAAAATTTCGACATTCTACAGGCAAAGGAAAAAAAGGTCTACTACCCATTTACTCAGTTTAGAAAAAGGATCTATAATAAAAACCTACACATTATTAAGGAAAATTAAATATTGCAAACTTGTAACTTACTGAAGATTATTTTAAATAATGGCCTCAATTTGTTGTGTTCCAATTACTTCATATACCTTATACCGTTTCACAACTTCATGAAGTGGAGAAAATTGTCCACATTCCATAGATTAGGAAACAAGTTGAGAAGCGAAGTAATTTACCAAAATCTGTGCAGCCAAGTGATCGGGCCAGACTATAAATCTAGTTTGTCTGATTCCAAAACCTATATTTGCCTCTCCTACTCTACCACGCTACGTTCTTTTTATTGGAATCGGTCAGCAAAGACTTCTTCTATGTGGAGGACACTGAACTAGGTATTTTGGGAGGTGGTTTGAGACCCCAGCTGCGTCTGGTATCAGCAGTGGTCCTGAGTCTTCGTACTTGGTCTACCAAAAACTAGCTATGCATTCTCAGCTGAGTCACTCTGCCCTCAGGGCCTCAGTTTCACATTGATTAAGAAAGAGTTTGGGACTAAAATAGTCTCCATAGAGCTTTCCAATTCCAAAACAATACACTTGTATAATTAGGTCAAAAGACGTTAAAAAAAAATAGAAAATAGGTCTTTGATTTTAGCAGAGCTTAGGAACACAGCTCTAACCCCTGTTCCAGGAACCATATAATGACTAAATCAAAGGCTTTTAATAAATTGGAGGGCACTTAGTACTCAGAAGCACATTAAGAAAATGCCAATAGTTGTGTTCAAGAATCTAAAATCTATTAGGGAGGTTTTATGTGACAAAGGCTATAAGAATGTCACAATCAATGTAGTGTGGGGCTCAGAAAAGAGAGAAAGGAACATGGCAATTGGGGTGGAGGAGGCTAACAGCCTAGCGACTCAGCTAAATATGACAAATAAGTATCAACGCAATAGGGAAAAAACATGAAAAGCGATAGGAAGAGTATGGGCCAAAGTTTGGGGTCAGGTAAAGGTCAGTTGATTCCAAGAATAGTGAGGAGTCTAATTAGGCAGAACATGGGGGACTGAATTGGATCAATGGAAGAAGATCTTGAGAGAGAGGCTGACAAGAGATTTGAGAGAGCCATAAATACGAGGCTTTGGCATCTTATGCTGTTCACAAGCATTGAAGAGCTGTTGAAGATTTTTTTAATCCTTTTGTTTTTTAAGTATGCATTTTTGGTGAGGAAGATTGGCCCTGAGCTAACATCTGTTGCCAATCTTCCTCTTTTTTTTCTCCCCCAAAGCTCCAGTACGTAGTTGTATATCCTAGGTGTAAATCCTTCTAGGTCTTCTATGTGGGACGCTGCCACAGCATGTCTTGAGGAGTGGTGTGTAGATCTGCGCCCAGGATCCGAACCGGCAAACCCTGGGCCGCCAAAGTGGAATTCGTGAACTTTAACCACTATGCCACTAGGCCGGCCTCATCGATTTTAAGCAGGGAAGTACAAGGTTAACTTGTAAGTTGTGTGCAAGATGCTGCAATGCAAGTGACTCTGTAAGCAAAGACCCAATTTAGCTAACTATACAATAATCCAGTCATTTAGGATTGGAGAACAGAAATGTCTTTCTTTTTAGTTTTAAAATTAGCAAATCTACATTATGGAACAGTCTTGTTACTCTAAAAAAGCCCTGACACAATTATTATGTTCATTTGAGTTTCCATGTCTGTTCTGACCAAAGAAACTTCAAAGGAAGAACCCACAGAATTTGGTGACTGATTAGATAAGGAGCAAGACAAAAAACGTTAACAGTGACTCAGAGGTTTGGTGTCTATGAGACCAGGGGCCCTATTTAAAAGAGCTATTCATTGCAAAGTCAAGAGGTAATTTAGGGAAGAAATAACAAATTGGCCTGTACACTTGTTGGATTTAAAATGCCTTGGCAGGGTGTCTATGAGATGTACACCATGAGGTGGAAATGTGGGAGAAATTGAGCCAGATCATGAGACACGGCTGAAGGCCAGGTAACCAAGGGAGAGGCTGTGTACAGAAACTCAAGAGGCCCACAGGGTGAGTCTTGGGGGACCCCGCAGTAGAGTGCAAACAATAAAAGGGAAGGAGAGGGTAGTGGGAAAAGAAGAGGATAGTGCAATTTCCTGAAAGCCCGGAATACAAGACAGTTAGCCAAATGTTAACACCCTCATTGTAGGTGAGGCAACTGGTGTTTAGGGAAGTTACCTAACTAGCCCCAAACCACAGGGCTTGTGAGGGGTGGAGCTGGGCCTTAGGACCTGAACTGCTCTGTTATACTGCTCAGGCCTCACCTCCTCCAGGAATGCTCCCTGTTCCCGGTGTGAGACCCAGAACCTATGCTACACCAAAGTTCTGCATGTGTCAGTTCCTCAAGTCTAAGGAATCAGTCTATTTCATACTTGCATTCATAATTCCGCCTAGAATTATTCCCAACTTATCTTAAAATGACCCAGGGAAAACCAAAACTTTGTATTGAGGTATTTGTCATGCAGCTGAAAATGAGTACAGTTGTGCCTTGCAGAATAAGTGAAGTGTATTTTTAAAAAATAAATGAAAAAAATTAGCAGATTCCTGTTTCTTTTTTTTTTTTTTTAGTTGGCACCTGAGTTAACAACTGTTGCCAATCTTCTTTTTTTTTCTTCTTCTTCTTCTTCTCCCCAAAGCCCCCCAGTACATAGTTATATATTCTAGTTGTAGGACCTTCTGGTTGTGGCATGTGGGACGCCACCTCAGGATGGCCTGATGAGCAGTGCCATGTCTGCACCCAGGATCCGAACCAGTGAAACCCTGGGCTGCTGAAGCAGAGTGGGCGAACTTAACCACTTGGCCACAGGGCCGGCCCAGCTTCCTGTTTCTTATAAGGGAAGTTTATTCTCCAGGAATTCTCT